CTCCGCTGGCTGCACGATTCATCGCACCGTCACCTCCCAGATGATGCTCCGTCTGCAACCTCGCAGGAGGCCACAAGCACTCAGCACGCTTCTAACACAGTAACTGGATGTCCTGCCCCTTTCTACTCCCTCGCACCCGTTCTCCGCCCTTTACTCTCTATTCTACTCTCTTCTCCCACGGTCGGAAGTTCTACGGATCACGCCATCGACGTTTAAAGATGAGCCTTCGTCTGCAACCCGCTGGAGGCCAGATGTAAACGATCCCCCAGTTGAGACGAAGGACGCTTGGATGTTCTTGCCTAGTCACCCGCACCCTTCAGCACTCAGCAGGCTACTGACTCAGTGGCTGGATGACCCACCTCTCTCTACTCCTTCGTACCTTCTCTCCGCCTTTCCCCTCCGCCCCCAATCTCTGACTCTACGCTACTGTCTCACCCCACGGCTGAAAGTCATACGGCGAGGACGGCCAGCAATCACGTAGGCGGTCCAGGCCATCGGTCATTTTCTCACTAAAGCCTGTGGGCCATATTAAAGAGCGGTATCCTTCTGGTGCGACAAAGCAGCCCTAGTTGGGGAGAGCACTGCTCACCCCGCGAGGGGGTGGGGACTATGAAAGATGCCTTAAACTAAGCTGCATTCACATCTGCGCGCCGACCGTGGCTCGAAGACTGCTTAACATGCGGTTGAAACAGTCAAACAAGAAACAGCAATCTAGCTCTTCTTCCACCCGCTCTCCGCCCCACGCCACAAGCTGCTAGGGTGAACCCGCTTAATCTGGGGGCCTAGAATTTTCGCTCTCTTTTAGATAATTCAAGGAGAAACCGGCCAGGACGAAGGACGGCGCCAGTCGCTCGGGAACTGGCGCACTATAAGGTGTACATCGCTGTACTCAATGAGACCCGGTTCTCTCAACAAGGCCAACTGGAGGAGGTGGGTGCCGGCTACACTTTCTTCTGGAGCAGTCGCCCCAAAGCAGAGCGACGGGACGCGGGCGTCGCCTTCGCCATGGTCGGACGTGGTCGGACAAAGCTCAGATGCATGCTCATCGCAACGGGGCTAGTAACCTAAAACGGCTCGCACACGGTTCGTGATGACAATTGGTGCCCCTGCCTGCTGGGCCATGAGTACGCTCTCTAGCCTTGGTAAAGCTTGTCTTCCCTGACTTTTGATCTGGGAAACCCTGGGTTGTTCGCCAACGTACTTCGACACGGCCACTGACGCATCGGAAAAGGAATAGAGAGGGAGGGCAGTGGCCACCGAGGCCCCTTCCCATGGAACTTCAGTGCGCACCTTATTATAAAAAATTTTGCGTGTTTGAAATTGTGACGTTGCGCCATCGATCGTGGCCAGGAAAATCTCCGGTTGACGAAACAACTCGCTCTTCCGCTGGAACGAGGGTCGGAGTGCAGTGACTCAGCATTAATGTGGTCTCAACAACATATCTTACTTCGGTTATATCGGAGCCCGTGTGTGGCACACGTTGCATGGTGACTCTACTTCGCATTAGCAACCGCACCTAGTCTTGCCCTCAGCCGGCTTGACTCGTGCAAACGATAAACATATGACATTGGTCGCACGAGCACAGTTTGTAACAGGTGAACTTTTCTACTGCTCCATACCACCTACATGGATAGGCCCAACTACTCCGTTGATTCCTTCTAGTAGTTTGGAAACCACTCATGAGCAAACTCTGGCAGGATGGAAAACTCGAGTCTGCCCTGAAATGCGTCGGCGGCACTTTGGAAGAGCATTTTGTGGCATATATGACTGGGGCTTGTTTTTACTTCGATAAACGACTGCCCAGGGATGATCGCTATATAATCATTAGTTAGATTCGAACTCAAGAGTAAAATGAATGAGCTCACTTCTGGCGGAATTTCAACCCCGATTCGTTTTGGCTGACGCTTTCCAGAAGCTGTCGAAGCTAACTTGAGGTTTGTATCCCTTTTATTTCCAGAGTAATTTGAAAGAACTTCTGGAAAGCCTGTGCGTTGATTCGCCACCAATGCGAGTTTTTGTTGCTGAGGAAAAGAAAAACGGAGATTCCCTCGACGGGTACAAAAGAAATTATCATGTTCTAATGCCGACAAAGACCTACATTCCAGGGCTGTCTACAGTACACTAAATTGTGTTAGAAATTTTCGTAAAAATCCCTTTTACTTGTACTTGGCACGGATGTGATCATGCCTAGCCTAGCCGGCCTCGATGATGTCACGCATTGAACCTTTTCCCACGTGACGATCAGCGGCAGCGGATCTGGGTAGCTCGACCCAATCTGGAGGGCCGGGAAGATGGATTACCCATTAACCTGGCTGTTAGCTACCCCGTGTGCCCACAGGTAAAGAATAGTGGAGCAGCCCTCAGCGAAGGCTAGCTGCGAAATAAGCAGGCTCTCCAAACTGGCAAGTATGCAGTCGCGAACCAGAGGCACCAGTGTTGTCAGGGCGCGGAGGGATGTGGTTCGGCACGCCGACTGCCTTAAAAAATCCCACAAAGCCTGATGACAACACTGTGACATGGCGACCGTGAATCGCCATTAAATGAGTTCGGTTGCCTCCGCTGCCCTATGGTTAGGTCCTTGGGGCAAAGCGCTAGAGGAGAAAACCTTGAACAAACAATCCGAGCGGCTGTTGGAGGCTCGCCCGGGCTCAAAATCCCTAAGAAACCTCATGAAACTCTCGGATAATACCGTGCGGATGGAGGCCTGGGCTTCATTCCGCATACATCTACATGTCTCTGTTTTCGTACGTCCATGAGAAAACGCCTCGATGACTCTCTTCCTCTTTAATTTCGTCGATCGGGCCGATGAATTCAGACTTTGTTTTAAAATACGCTGGTATACGTCGAGACCACTCATCAGTGGCCGCACATCGTTGCCGAGAGCATGGCGTCCGTTTCATGACTATTCCTCGGTGCGCCCTAGTCTTCTGCCACCATAGATTTGCTCGGTCAAGCCGGCACCGCATCCCGCTGCCATCACAGATTAAGCATAACTTGACGAAAGAATTCCAGGGGCTCACATCAATAAGGGACAAACAGGATGGCGCTGTCCACCAAAACTCAGCCAGAAGATCGAGAGACTGTTTTGTGATGAACAATTCGTGGTACGCCATTACTATATTGGCTGCGCAGTAGAAAATTCTTTTGATGAAGTCTACTCCCGATCACTCTACGTCTTTCCGGAAAGAAGCAGGCAATAACTGATCAGAACACACATTCCAAACGCGCCTTCATGGACTGAAACCCCGAGGACGCAAGCCGTCAGTTACTTCCTTCTCTGACCTACAGAATACAAAGAGCACGTTTCGCAACCGTACAGCAGAGCAATCTTGGCCACAGTCTCATAGGCCAGTCTTTGTCTGCTGATGAACATCACTGCAAGACCACGGAGACTTCCAGGTCGACAAAACGTGCTAACTTCTCCGGACATTGGCGAAACAGACGCAGTAAAAGTATCTGACTGTGTTGAACTTCCCCTCCATTTCCAAGAGGAGGACACTGCAGTATAAAACCGCCAGGCAAAACTCTGCTTTTTCTTACGTCCAGTATCAGGCCGAATTTGTGGGATGTAAGGATTAGGAGATTACGGGCAAAGCACATTTCTCCGAAGAAATTTCCAAGCAAGGTGCTGTCGTTCTGACTACAATCAACTACTGGAACGAGAAAGTCCTGCCTTACTCGAGGCCCCTAGTAGTCGTGGAGTGCCATGCGCAGATCCGAGTCTAGCGAACCGAAGACTGGCGCCAACGAACGCCAACGTTAACAGTGAGGTGCTCGTCCCCTTCACCGAAATGTTGTTTCTTCTGAATTGCTGGCATGTCTTGACCGAGAGAATGCCGTCCGCCTCCATGGACAATGAGAACAGTAATCCGACGCCTTAGAATCGACAAAACTGCTGGTAAAGATGGATCGCTGGCTGAAGTATACAAAAGCTGTTGCGGTGTTATTTCGGAGCGGTTTAAAATGCGACCCGCTTAACAGGCTCATGAGACTGAGCCATCGCTGTTCTACCCCCTTCGAGAGGGCAGAGAGGACGCAATGTCAGAATTAGAGAGGGACCAGGCTGGTCAGCGACGCGAAAATCTTGGCAGCCATCTCACGGGGCCGATGCAGGCGCCTCAAGCATATAGAAGCCATTCATCCCTGGTACACACGACACCAGGAATCATGTGATCGCAAATCTCGAGCAAATGAAGCGTGCGCGTACCCAGCCCTGAAGGCGGCCCAGCGCAAGCATCCGAGAACCCAGGAACTGTTCAACGGGCTCATCAAACGGACACTGGTTGGTTCTCAAATAAGACACGCTTGATCATCCAAGCACACCTCACTTATGGAAGACCACCATCGCATTTCTGCAGAAGATAAACTTCCCAAACCAGGTTAGGGTCTAAAACTGGGGGTTTTAATATGTCAATTTTCTCAGTCATTAGACCGTTTTCGCTCTGTCGGGGACGCCATTGAGATATCACACGCCCGGTTAAATAAATATACTGTAACACGCCGATGTTGCAAGACTATAGGTCCGAAGGAGTGGGGATTGCCAGTCTACAAAGAGGCTCGACAACGGACAGCTGATTGACAGATGCAAAAGAATAAGCCAAGCCTGGGTCTGGAAAGCTATGAAGATGCATTGCCCCGTGGAAGCGTGTAAAGTACGCTTTTCTGAGCAATAACCGCTGTCCGGGGAGAAAGTGCTCTTTTGCATATACATTAAATCGGATGGGCACAGAAAGGGATTGGCTCTAGTCAAAATGTACATCGTAGACAAATCACAAGAAATAAAGTTTGCGGTTTTAAAGAATGTAAAGCAATGACGATATAAGTAACGTCAAAAATAGTGAAATGTTCACGAAACGGAGAGTAAGCTGGAACTATCGCAACGTCATTGTAGCAAAACGGACACAATTTTGGCTGGAGGCGAGTCAAGGGGAGCATGGGGACATGCTACACGGAAAAAAGAACAAATATTTTATATAATATTCGGCACAAATTCGGGATGGCTAGCATGCACCGCAGACTCCAGCTCCTGCGTTTGAACGTGAAGGCGAGTCGCCTAGGTGCAAGGTGTTCGTAGAATCAGGGGACGAACGGAGCTCCAAGTAGGCCGGCGAAGTGACAATCTAGGCATAGGACGGAAGAGGACCTGCAATGTCGGCGGCCAAGTACTTTTTGGCTGTATACGTTATCACAACCCTCTATGAAGTTTTGGGTTAAAAAACCATTAAAACCGCGCCGGAGGCAAAAGGATCGTTAAAAAGGGGGACGGGGCACAGAAAGTTTCCGGCATACGTAATCTCAAGACAAACGCGCCACGTGACACGCGGCCCTGACAATAAAGAGATAGCGGACCTCATATCGCATTTAGATATGCTGGCTTCGGGTGTACAACTGACGTGATAGAAACCGCAAACAACCTTAGTCAATGATCACGAATTACCATGGGAGCATGTTAAGTATACTTTTGTTGGAATAAGTTTGACCTAGCAACTTAAAACGCATGAAAACTAGCTGGATATAAAAAGAAGCAAGCATGCGAATAACAACACCCCGCGAACACGAAAACTCACGTAGGAAACAAGCTCTTGGAAACAGGCATTGACATTCTCGCTGGTCAACGCACTGGTTTCCACAAACAACATAGATGACTGACGAGCCAGTTGACGACCCTCCGCCTTACTTACGCGCCGGTCATCCTGGAGAGAGAAAGAGTCCATTAAGTTGTCGAGGCAAAGAACTACACATTTACCAAGTCAATCTTGTTGCCGACCAGCATTTTAACTATATTACTCGTGCCCGAGTAGTAGTTCAGGTGGTCCTCCCATCGTTTAATGTTGTCGAAAGTCTCTTTTTTTGTAATGTCGTAAACTGTAAGCAGATGGTAAGTTTTGTAGAGCCTCCGCCCTACCCAAGAGAACTCCTTCAGCACAGCGATAGTACATGGGAGCTAAAGCTGTCATGCCATTTGCCTCCGCACCTGCAGTGTCCTAGAGGAGGTATTAGCTTGGGGTGGCAGCAGTGCTTACCCAGAGTGAAAGACTATATGGAGATCCGTTAACCTCAATAACGGCTGGCATAAAGTCCACCCCGATGGTGGGCGAGATGTGGGGATCAAACTCTTGTTTGGCAAAACGTTTCATGAGACTAACAATAAAATAACATGGTGTCGGACAAGTGAGACAAACCTTGTTTTCCCCACAGAGGAATCGCCAATGAACAAAATCTTGATGGGCTTTTGCATGCCTAAAAAACTAGTCTGATTTATGGTGCCGATTATGCAAACAAAAGAAGATGACAGATTTTAAGCGTAACACGAAAAACTGATTGTGCGTGCTTGCAAGGATATCAAGTTGCGAGAAACGATCAATTGTACAAAGGGCTACAAAAGAGAGTTAGGGTCATTCAAACCTCGATTGCCGGTGATATGAGCACTATTAAAGTAACCGGAAATGGCATGAGGAGTGGACATGAAGCTTAAGAGGGAGCCCAGATTATTCGAAAAATGGACAAAAATGGGTGGAACTAGCATTTTTGGCGCCGCCGTCACCATTGGAAACTAAGGGCTTCATACAGAAGCCGCAGTTTCAACGTTTCTACTCGTAAAACTGTCCATCGTTTGTAGAAAAGTAGGGATCGAGTAGTAAAAATGACGTGGGACGCAAATTATGCATCATAGTCCCCCCGGATTTCGTTGCCTAGAAGACAAACAGGTGATGCGGCATTGAAAGTACGCCTTCTGAATTAACGAATGGATTTGTAAGTACATGCTCTTTCTGTAGGACGCATGCAGAAGTTTTGCTGGAAAGGTGAAAGTGCTTAGCTTCTCAAAGCGTCTGCAGTACAGTGTACGACCCTCAAGACAGAGGACCAGGCATTTAGACCTTTTCACTAAAACCGCCATCGAAGCAATAACCAGAAAGGCGGTTGCAAGATACATAAGCAATCCGTCTGGAGGGCTGTGTCCTGATGGAAGAGTCCGTTTTAATCCCTAAATGAACATTATGGCGTCTCCTGAATTCGGGACTACATTGCGCTAGACTTTTTGACATAACCATGAGCGCATATTATCCTGGTAAACTACTGTAGCGAAGTCCATTAAGTAATCCATAAGTTACTCAAACTGGGCGTCCGCACACAAGAACAGCGGACTACACCTTTGCAATATGCAGTCAATCGGCGAAGTGGCCTAAACAGAAAACTACTTGTAACACCCAGGTGATCACTTTTAAAGGACGTTGTAGATAGGACGTGCAGCCAGCTACACATCAGATCAAGCTCGACCGAATGCAGCGCGAGTTTTCTACAGAGATAAGTATCGCGCTCGACTCACGTTTTTCGTCTTGGATTTCTTACTGAAAACGAAAAAAAATCACGTCTTTGGGCCAATGGGCATCCCAGACGGTTGAACAGTTTTTCAGGTAGTTCTGAATTTTCCCACATCCCCGTGGCTGGTATGACTACCGTTCTTATTCAAAATGCACACTAAGTTAGTACTCGTTCTGTGCTATTTCTGGCTGCTTCCTCTCATTGTTTCATTTGAGCCTCCACGATTAAACCCCTTCTCATTAGGCTTTTATAGGTCCTTGGGCGCCCAGTTCGGCCTTCATGAACGTGCGCAATCCCATTGAGACACTCTGTAACGTCCCTTGAAGTGTACAGAATCGTTCGAATGAAGTGACACTTTTTGAGCGCAGATCCAGGATGGAGATGGTGTGACCGCGTGTAGGCGAAAATAACCGGTGTTCAGTCCTCACATCCCCGCCGACTACCCTTCCCGTCGTTACCGTTTCGTATTTCCCGCCTCATGTCGGCGCTTTCCACGGTCCCACCCCTCAGTTGCCGATAGCGCTGCATTCCTCACCGGTTGTCTTGCTGATATGTTGGAATCACCTCATACAGACGGATCATCCCTCCTGCTGTTAATCTCATCCCGCTTTAACGGACAATTGTTCCGTTTAACATTTTCCCACGTGTTAATTTCATTGTTCGTATTTCGTACTATTTGACTTTTCCTACTCCCAGCTTGGATGAGATCGATTACCCGTCCCGCAACTCTACTCAGATCCGCATTTGCCAAGGGTGATATCTAGTGCTCCACGTTACGTAATGTGTGCTACCCTCAACGTCTTCGGTCGCTACAACTCAATTATTAAGGAAATTGGGATTCTGAACTCCCCGTTTACTGATATTGTATAATGATCAAGAAAGGACTTCATCAAGAACGAGGCAGGGGGTGGGGGCAGATCAATAAGGATACGAACTACCTTGAGAAATCGGATTTTACAAAAACCGCGCGCTGAATTATAGAGTGAAAGAAGTAGGCAACTAATAACGAATGCATGAAGGCGATTCTATTTATACAGCTGCATTGATCAAAACCCAAATAGGCCATTAAAACGGCTCCAGTAAGGTATGATAAGCTAAAGACGAGGGAAGTGCGGCAAAGTAGAATTAGTGGAAAACAAATAGTCTCGATACCAGATGAAATGTGTAGGAATTAATCAATTATCCGAAGACTTCTGTATATATTTGTCTTTTGGCACCATTATCTGAAATAGTACAAAGCACTTGCAAAGTATTATTCTTGGCTGCTGAAAGTGATGAAGCGGGGAAGGCGTCAAGCGACCTGCTAAAAATTACCGGTAACGTTCATAGTTAATTCCGGATGACGCTGTCACTCCACTTGAGGCTAGGGCTTGTTTGAATGAGACGCACGAGTAAAAATCCATTTGTGAAAGTGGAGACATAAGTGTTTTGTAAAACCCATTGTCGTACAGCAATGAATCCGTGATTTCCAGTCTGAAGTCCGCATTTTTGTTCCAAAGCTCCCAAATCAAACGACAATCCTCATGATTTCCCTGCGACATTCTCCACGAAAAACTCCTTAGTGCGCTTAACTGTCTTGAACCACACAGAGCTCTGGGGAACCCGTCCACAACTAGTTACCTTGGTGTCGTTAAATGGAGTATGTCAAAGTTCCCGTCATGCCTTCTGAAGTACGGTTGAGCAAATCCATGCTGTCCCGTAGGATAGAAACCTATCCAGTGTGCACAATGCTCTTTGACCGGGTAGAGAAACGCCTGCAAAGTTCGTGCAACTTCTGTCAATATTTAGTATGATTCAGTATAATTCAGCATATATGAGGGATAGAGGCAGAGCCTTGGAAAACCCTATTTACAGTTAGACGTATTCAAAAAACATGCACATATTTACATAGCAGTTATGCCAGTCATTGATATCATGTAAATGTTTGACCATCAAGCATAAATTTATCTAGTCTTCTTCTGAAGGCCTCAACGTTTTCCGCTAAGACAACGGAGTTCGGCAATTTGTTCTATCCCTCAACCAGCCGGTGGGAGAAGAATTTGGCCCGCAATTCGAGTTTGGCATATTTTGTCTTCAATTTGTATTGGTGCCCTCGAAGATTTGTAGTCCGCGCCATTTCAAAGAAATCGTCAAACTGAAGAGCACAGTCTAGCCCTCGGACGATCCTGAAGGCCATGATCATATCACCTCTGTATTGTCTATAAGAGAGAGGAAATATTTTTAACTTTCCCAGCCGTCTCTCATAAGGTAAGCTACTTAATCCGCCGACTAGCTTGGTCGATCTTTGTTGTACGTCCTCCAGTAGGATATAATCTTTTTTCGTCCAGGGACACCATGCCTGGACACAATATTCCAACATTGGTCGAACGTATGCTTCAAATACTCGGCCGAAAATTTCTTCGTTAAAATTGAGGAAGGATCTTCTAATCGCGCCTAGGATACCCGTAGCTTTCTTTGATACCTTGGCGCAGTGAGACGTCATCCACACACCGAGGTCTCTTAACTCGTTGACTGATTCGAGTTGGTGACCTCCTATAAAGTACTGAGATTCAAATCTCAACGGCCTCATGTTGCTCGAACGTAATCAGATAAGTTGGCATTTGTTACGATTGAGGCTAAGACACCACTCAACACATCATTGTTGCAAGCGATTCAAACTGCCTTGTAACTGTACAGAGTCTTCCGGCTTCTCTATTGATTTCCACAATTTGAGATCGTCGGCAAACATTACGCACTCGCAGTTCAGAGAGTCTAGGTAGTCGTTCACATATATTAAGAACAGAATTGGACCCAGAACGCTTCCCTGCCGAACGCCACTGTGGACGGATGCCCATTCCGATTTAGCGTTTCCGATACACACACGCTGAGATCTGCCCGTAAGAAAATCGGCTAGCCATTTCAACAGATTTCCATTCACACCCACTTGACGTAGTTTACATATAAGTCGTCTGTGTGGAACACTGTCAAAAGCCTTTTTGAGGTCAATGTACACGGCGTCGACTGATAAGTCCATCCGCACTGATACGCACTCCGCAATCTTGTGGCTATCTTTTTCCAAAGTCGGCTTAGGTAAGTTCTGATTTGCTATCTATGTTACCCAAACTTTCCAACCAATACAAGTACAGACTTTTATTTTCCTTGTACACGAGGTAGTCATCTAGCTTGATTATCTTACCTCTGATCGACATCTCTTATAAATAGCCAACAGGCCTACTGGTGAGCCGATGACAGTCTTTCGTAATTTCGACATCTCAGTCGTGTGGTTCAGTGGTATTGCGCGTTGACTGTACCCGATGGAATCATGTTTTGCCTTGCAGTGGACCACAGGAAAAGGGGAAATTTCTTAATGTCGTGGACGGTTTGCCAACGAACATTGCCACCGACCAACGGGAAGATATTGAAAGTGCGTACACCGTCAACATGCGGTCCTCGCTTCATACCTCCCCTACTTGCCTGAAGACGCTTATAATACTTGCTTTCTGAGGAAAAGCTTGCCGATAGGAAATCGTCACAGCCTCGTAGACGCCCGTAACAGCTGGTAGACGGACAAATTCTTAATACCACAGCGTTAAAGCGACTGTTCTTTCAACGACTGCTCTCTCTCTCGTGTAAGCTATCCTTATGCCAATTTCTCATCTATAAAATCCCCATAGGAATTACTGAACGCATTCTCGAGTACTTCCGGCCACCATTCGCATTCGTGCTTCTAGTCGCGCTACAGTCCATCTGACTACGGTTACGACGGTTGGGGTCATGGAGTGACTACACGCCCTACGCCGTGAAGTTAACCATCTTCGTACTACTCGCATTTCCCATAATCAAAGTTCTTTATTACTCGCCCCCGGGGGTCTCCCGCTGTGGTTTTAAGCCCGTCCAATCTGATATCTTTTGCTGGTACCACCACACCAGTGGCCC